CAAAGCAGAAGATTGCTTCAGCCCAGGAATTCCAGACCAGCCTGTATAACATAGTGAGACTGTGTCTCTACAAAAAAAAAAAAAAGAATTAGCCAAGTATGGTAAGCGTGTGCCTGTGCTCCTAGGTACTCAGAGGCTAGGGCAAGAGCATCACTTGAGTCCTAGAATTTTAAGGCTGCAGTGAGCTGTGATGAGGTCACTGCACTTTAGCCTGGGCAATAGAATAATGCACTGTCTCTTAAAAAAAAAAAAAATTGGCAACCCTCTCCCAGAGCTTACCCAAGAGCATCTTATCAGTTACTATATAATAGCCAAGCAAGTATAAAGGAGGAAAACTTTCAATAAAACTTTTAACACAGCTGAGAGAAGAAAAAGGTTTCTTAGTTTTTTCCTTTGAGCTTTCAAATTCTTTTATAGTTCTTTCAGAGAAGAAATATATAAAAAATTCAGGTTTAAATTAGCATTTCTTCCAGTTCTTTGAGAAAGCTTTCATACTTCTTTCCAAGGAAGTTGTACAAGTTTGCAGTCCCACCAACAGTGCATGACTGTCTCCTCCTGTCCACACTTAATAAGACCAGTAGATTAACAACTATATGCTCACATTAGAGAAAAACTCAGTTAAATCCCAATGCAGGGAGGAGGGCAAGGGTGTGGGCAAATTCCCACTTAACAGGTACATTGCATGGGTATACTGCATACTTCCTAGGTGAAGGGCACAACTACAATCTGGACGTGAACCTTACAAAAGCAAACTATGTAACCTAACCTTAAAAATGCCCATATTAATCTGAAAGAAAACAAACATTAGTGTTCCTTTTTTAAAAAATTTCAGAATATGGCAACGCCTGTAGCTCAGTAGGTAAGGTGGCTAGCCACATACAACAGGACTGGTGGGTTCGAACCCAGCCCGGGCCCGCTAAACAACAATGACAACCACAACAAAAAAATAAGTAGGTGTTGTGGTGGGTGCTGTAGTCCCAGCTACTTGGGAGGCTGAGGCAGGAGAATCACTTAAGCCCGAGAAATTTGAGGTTGCTGTGAGCTGTGATGCCACAGCATTCTATTGAGGGTGACATAGTTACACTCTGTCTAAAAAAATAAATTTTATTTTTCAGAATATGATGGGGGTACGCACATTTTGGTTACATAGTTTGCTTTTGTATACTATAAGCCAAAGTTGTAATCATGTTTTTCTCCCAGAAAGTGTGCACAATACCCATGTAAGATACCTACTGGGTATGAGAATTACCCATTCTCTTCTCCACCTCCCACCTACTTGAATTTTGTTAGTTTTGCTTCCACATAAGCACGTAGGTGTTGACCAACTAATTCCAATTTAGTACTGAGTATTAGGTGGTGTTTATTTTTCCATTCTTGCGATACTTCACTTAGGACAGTGAAGCAGTGCTAAGCAATGGAAACAGTTTTATGGTTGGGGGTCGCCACAACATGAGGAACTATATTAAAGGGTTGTGGCATTAGGAAGGTTGAGAACCACTTACTTAGGAGAATGGTCTCCAATTCCCTCCAGGTTGTTATAAAAGATATCAGATCACCATCTTTTTATGGCTGAATAGTATTCCACGGTATGTATATATGTGTGTGTGTGTGTGTGTGTGCGCGCGCGCATATGCATCACACTTTATTAAACCTTTCATGTGTTGACAGGCACTTGTGCTGTTTCCATGCCTTTGTGATTGTGACTTGTGTTGCTATAAACATTTGAGAGCAAGTACTTTTTAATAAAATGTCTTTTCTTCCTTTGCGTAAATAGTTGTGGGATTACAGGATCAAATAGTAGATCTTTTTTGATTTCTTTGAAGAATCTCAATATTACTTTCCATAGAGGTTGAACTAGTCTATAGTCCCACCAACAGTATGTGAGTGTTCCTTTCTCTCTGCATCCATGCTAGCACTTGTTGCTTTGGGACTTAATAATGTGAGTCATTCTCATTGGGCTTAGGTGATATCTCATTGTGGTTTTGATTTGCATTTCTCTGGTGATAACAGACAATGAGCATTTTTTTTCTGTGTTCGTTGGCCATTAGTCTATCATTTGAAAATTTTCTGTTCATTTCTCTTTCTGTTCAGCTTCTAATGGGGGTGTGTTTGATCCTTTTCATATTGATTTATTTGAATTGTTTACAGGTTCTAGTTATCGTTCTTTTATCAAATGTAGAGTACATAAATATTTTCTCCCATCCTGTAGGTTGTCTCTTGCCTTTGTTGATTGTGTCCTTGGCTACACAGAAACTTTTTAACTTGATCAGATTTCATTTATTTATTTTTGCTGTTATTGTTCATTATAAACATTAGTATTTTTTTCTTTCGTCTCACTCTGTCACCCTGGGTAGAGTGCTATGGCATCACAGCTCATAACAACTTCAAACTCTTGGGGTCAGGCAATCCTCCTGCCTCAGATGGCTGAGTAGCTGGGACTACAGGTGCACACCATGACACCAACTAGTTTTTCTATTTCTATGAGACAGGGTCTCATTCTTGCTCAGGCAGGTCTCAAACTAGTGAGCTCAAACAATCCACCCACCTTGACCTCCCAAAATGCTAGGATTATAGGTGTGAGTCACTGTGTGCCGAGCTAAACATTAGTATTTCTAATGTTTCTACTAAAAATGTAAAAAAGTTCTTCATTGTAAGTAGTAAAATATACTAAGAAACATCTGGATAGAAATAATATTGAAGTAATACCTGTGTTCTGGTGTCATGGTCTATGTTCTAATTCTTTTCTTTTTTTTATGAGATGGAGTCTTCTTCCATTACCCAACTAGAGTACAGTGGCCTCATCACAGCTCACTGTAAACTTTAACTCCTGGGCTCAAGTAATCTTCCTGCCTCAGTCTTCTGAGTACCTAGGACTATAGGTACATACCACCATGCCCAGCTAATTTTTTTCTATTTTTTGGTAGAGATAGGATCTCACTCTTATTCAGGCTACTCTCGAACTTCTAACCTCAAGCAATCTTCCCGCCTTGTTCTCCTAGAGTGCTAAGATTATATCCATAAGCCACCATGCCCAACCTGTTCTTGAAGTTATACTGAATCTGCATTTAATGTAATTGCTTGAATATAAGTAGATGAAAAGTTCAAAATGTGGTAAAGGCACATCTAAGTAGTAACAAAATAATTCTGTAAAACAATTTCAGACCAAGTATGTAGCTGCCTTTACCTTTATGGTCAAAATGTTAACTTAAAGGAACATATACTTAAGATAAGAAACCATTGGTGTATCTTTTAAGGAAACTTAGTGGAAGTTTTTATAAAAGATAAAAAAAATAATAAAATGATGATGCTTATTTTAAAATATATTAAACACTGTTTTTCAAAAGGTTTAGCAAATTAACATGCAAATAATTCCTACTGTCATGAATTATTTAATAACCCTATGAAAAATTAGTCATATTTACCCTGTGGATACTACAAAAGTTATATACCTAAAAAAGCAAAATATAGTCTGACTTTAAAAACAGGAAACCAATATCATCCCTTTTACTTCTAGGAAGCAAAAAATTTCCTAGCTCTCTCCAAGTAGGTCTTAACGTAATCTGATTTTTAAATCTGCCAACTGCAGAAAAGAGCAACAGTTAAGGTGTCAGAACAGCCAAACAGAAAGTTTTTTGTCGTTTATTTTCGCCCAATATAATTAATTTTTTTGAATACTGGCTTCCTAAACCCCTTATAAGGAAATTGTTCAATCTTGTTTTGCCTGAAATGTATAGGACATAGTAAAAATACAACTTCAAAAAACAAAGAAATCTTTAAAACTTTGCTTTAGGCCAGGCACAGTGGCTCACACCTGTAATTCTAACACTCTGAGAGGCCGAGGTGGCAGGATCCTTTGAGCTAAAGAGTAGAAGGCCAGCCTGAGTAGGAGTGCAACTCTGTCTCTACTAAAAAGTGAAAAACTAGCTGGGTGTGGTGGCTGTAGTCCCAGCTATTCGGGAGGCTGAGGCAGGAGGATCACATGAACCCATGAGTTTAATGTTACTGTGAGCTAGGCTAATGCAATGGCACTTTAGCATGGGCTACAGGGTGAAACCATCTGAAAAACTGAAGCAAAACAAACAAAAAACCCTTTGCTTCAGTGTTGAAAAACCCTGAAAGCAGAAAGTTTTCATTAGCAGAACTATGTACTGTGTAGTAGGATAAAATTACAAATGTGAAAAAAATAACTTCACCCATTTTTTAAATGAATAAAACATTCAGACTTTAAAGTTTACCATATTTTAAGTTAGTCCCAAAGAAATGAGAGTAGTCACTAAGGAAAAATGAGAGTAGTTACTAATTTTCTAACTTTTATGTCTTTAAAGTACAAGAGTATATAAGCTAATTGAGTTCCGGAATTCATCAACCTCAAGAGAAAATATTCTCTCATTATCGATCTCTCACTCTCTCTCTCCATCTCATACTAACAAACATATATACACATCTGATGGAATTGATCACTTTTGAAGAATTTATCGCAATCCTATCTTATTGATAGCAATAATGCACTTCCAAACTACTAGAGTGATCTATGCGATAGAAGTTTCCACCAAATACTTGTTTTAACTCTTATCAGATGTTTAAAATATTAGATTCATTTCAAACAATTAGAGCAAAAACCATAATCTATGCCTTGTACAAACTGCCAAAACCTAAACCAGAATGAATGACTGACTACAATTTTCTTAACTTACTCTTATTGCACAGAAAATGCCAGACAGGAGTTCTTCCAAATCTTTCATTTTATGCTCATACTCAATTTCCACAAAAAGATTTGCAAGTGCTCTTGTTTAAACAGATACAAAGAATATTTTGTATATTAATTCTAATTCTTTTCCTATTACATTGCTTAATTTTTTTAAAAAATGAGGTAATTAATTATACAACCTTCCTTAAACACAGTAGTAATAAGTTCACAGAATGTTCAATAGTTTAACATTATAATTATAGTTTCTTTTATTTACGTAACAACTCTGGGTGGACCCAGTATGCTTCCTTACCCCAATCTGTTCCGTCGCCTGCGCTTCTAGATTCACTGTCTCCTTCCTCTGATGTACCCAGGAAGTCAAACTCCTTTAGAGCTTCTTTTGTATCTCGATCTTCACTGCTATCAGGCAACACTTTTTTCCTAACAATCTAAGAAAAAAAGCTAAATTAAAATATTAGGATATATTACAGATTTGATTTTTAAAAGGAGATAGTATCCCTTTAGCACTGAATGAGGAAACTCAATTCAATTTTCTTCAGAAAGTGTATCTATGTTAAGTAATTGTACTGAACTCGGTAACAAACACATATATATCCATTGTATTTTTTAAAGATATATATTTTACATTTCAAAGCAGTAACTTAAAATTTTCTTCAATAGTGTGATGGTTTGTTTCTTTTATATAAACAAATGGAACCATATATTGAAATGATGCCCCTAACGCCCTATAAGAACCACAACAAACTACATTTCTTGGACGCAATCTGCTCAGTTTATAGACATTCTAATCTAACCAAAAAAGGAGACACTTCATAAAACACTGCAAGAGTTTTTCAGAATATAACCATGCTGACTTTTTGGCAGGAGAAAGATAGGCTCTCAATCTGTTGCGTGGCTTAGAGTGCAGTGTTGTCATTATAGCTCACTACAACCTCACACTCCTGGGTTCAAGCAATCCTCCTGCCTTAGGCTTCTGAGTAGCCAGGACTACAGGTACATGATGCCACACCCAGCTAATTTTTATTTTATTATTAATTTAATTTTTTGTAGAGATGATGCAGCTATGTTGTTTAGGTTGGTCTGGGACTCCTGGCCTCCAGTGATCCTCCCTCTTTGGCCTCCCAGAGTTCCAGGATTATAGGTGTAAGCCACTGTGCCTAGCCTCCATGATAATTTTAATGCAGCTATATCATTTCCTCACAAAACTGAAAATCGTAAAAGCTACAAATTCAGAAATGCATGTTCGAGACTTATAAGGTACTCTGTTAGGTTCCTATCATTATTTCTAACTGTCCTAACCTTGCATCTGTTTTCTCTAATACCTCTCCTATATATTCAATTCTATCCCTTAAAATAGTGATTTTTCAGAGTGAGTCCTGACTTATATTTAATAACATATCTGGTTAAGGGCTGTGTAGCTCATATATTTGAAAGTACCTCTGGAATCACAAATCCAGTTGTCAGAGGGTTAAAACTTAAGCTTATATGCCTAAACTCCTTATGAATTATCTCCTTTTCAGTTACCTCTATCAACATGAGCCCAAAGAAATCAGGATGAGTGCTTTGCACAACTAAAATGACTCAATATCTCAATTTTATATAAAATAGAAATAGCATGTTTTGACAAAACTTTATCCCTGGACTACTTTGAGTAGTTTAAAGGTTAGGCCAGGCACAATGGCTCACTCCTGTAATCCTAGAACTTTGGGAGGCCAGGGCAAGAGGAACACTTGAGCACAGGAGCTCAAGACCAACCTGAGCAAAGCAAGACCCTGTATCTACTAAAAACAGAAAAATTAGCTGGGGATGATGGTATACACCTATAGTCCCAGCTACTCTGGAGGCTAAGGCAGGAGGACTGCTTTAGCCTAGGAGTTTGAAGTTGCTGTGAGTTAGGGTGAGGTTATAGCATTCTAGCCCAGGCCATAGAACAAGACTCTGTCTTGAAAAGAAAAGAACATTATAAAGGTTATAGCTAGGGATGGTAGTGCATGTCTGCAGTCCTAGCCTTTGGGAGGCTGAGGTGGAAGGATCACTTGAGGACAGGAGTTTGAGATTATAGTGAGCTATGATCATGCCACTACACTCAGGCTGAGTGACAGAGTGAGACCCTGTCCTCAAAACAGAGTAAAATAAAATAAAATTATAAAGGTTTAACAGATCAATCAGTGAGATAAGAGAGTTCAGAAATAAACCCTAAGAGACAACAAATATTTGACTTGTATGGCCCTGTTCCTGTGCTTACAAACAATACCTCTTATCAATCACAACACTTTTCATCAGACAAGATACAGCCTCAGAAATTCTTCTTAACACAGTACTCTAGGAAGCTGGCATCATAGATGAAACCTATCTGGCCTTATCTGCCTTGGTATATATAAAAAGTGATGATACTAGAATAACTGGCTTAATTACTTGGGGTATTTTTCTAAAATCAAGAAACACTTCCATGCTTACAGCACTGCCCAATCTAAAATCTATTAAGTCTATTTAAAAAAAGCAAGCTCAGTTTGGCATATTATACAGAAAACCTGTGTTGAATGTGTGTTCTTTTACAAATACAAACCATATTCTAAATATCTGTTCTAACTTTGCCTGAGAAGTCAGTGTAAGGCAGAAAAGAACTAAAAGTTAACCTACTGTTTGATCCTGCGATATCATTTGCTAGGTATCTACTCGGGTAAACAAAAATTATTTTACAACAAAGACATTTGCACCAGAATGTTTACTACAGTCCAATTCACAATAGCCAAATCATGGAAGCAGCCTAATTGCCCATCAACCCATGAATGGATAAATTGTGGTATAAGTATACCATGGAATACTATGCAGCCTTACATCTTTTATGTTTACCTAGATGGAACTAGAACAAAGTATCTCAAGAATGGAAAAAAAAGTATCCGATGTACTCAATACTATCATGGAGCCAAATATGCAAACACTTACACATTCATAGGAATGATAAAAATACAAAGATAGTCCAGAAAGCAAGAGGGGAGGGGAGGGTGGAGGGCAAATGGAGGGAAGGTATTTGGCGGGATCTCACCTAATGTACACAATACGAGCGTACACTTCAAAACAACTAAGAGTATATTATAAATGTCCTACCACAAAAATAAATGATGTGATAGTTATGTTAGTTTGAATTAAGCATTCCACATTGTATATCTAATCATCACATTGTACCCCATAAATGTATACAAAAAAAGAGTCGTTTCAAGGGGACATCCTGATCTTCATAGTTTCACATACAAATATATTGCCTAGTCCACCTTCTTTTTTACCAGAGAGGCTTGACCCCCTCCTCCGTGTTAGGACCCTGGCAGAGAAGTTAGCTGTAATTCAGGAGGTCCATTACAAACACCTTATAGATGGAAAGTCCTTGTTTTTGCAACCTAACAAAAAGGTTAGGGAAAATCCAGAAAAAATATATGGCACCTCACTTGGAAGTCTGAAGGTATTTTGGATATCAAATATAGTATGAAGTCACAAAAGTTACTTGGGAGAAAAACTTGTTTCTAAGTCTCATCTCCTCAGTATATAACCTTACAAAGAATGAAGATACATGACATGTTTATGCAGATCATATACATGACTGCCACTACAGATCACTATTTATCAAGTATCCTATTTTAAATAAACAAACCAAAAGTCCTGTGTTTTTAATAGAAAAAGGCATAGAAAAAAGGTAAATGTAGTTACCCAATCGAGAATAGGATCAATATGTGAGAAGGGGTAGAGATTGTAATTATAAACGTGTCACTTCTTCCTTACAGAGATGGCTCCATTTCACTTCTATCTTCGATGAGCTTACAAATCAACTTAGAAAATTAAAACAAAGCTAAAACAGTTATAGGTTGCATAGTGTGCCCAAGTAGATTAAAAAAAGGACAGACTGTCACTTAGAAAACCACTAGCAGCAACATGACTAAAAGCGGGGGGCAGGGATTCTTTATAATGTGACTAAAACAATAGTCAGTTAATTTGTAATTCCATTATTTTTTTCTCCTGAAGTTTCTGAAAATGGAGAATAAATGTTGATATAGAAGTTATTTTTCCACACAGTTTACTATACTTAACTGATGATGATGAGAATGTACGTAATATTGGTAAGGAAAAATAAGGTGAAAAGGTGAATCACGAAGAAAGAAAAGATGCAGAAAAGGAAAATAATCTAGACTGTGAACCAAGGAGCAATTAAACTCCCAAGAGGGCAAAGAGGAGAAGATATATGCTTTGAAGAGACTCTAATATCGCCTGAGCACAACCAGCAGTTACTAAAAGTCATGTTTCTGCATCTTCTTAAAGGAATCAAACTACTCTATTGGAGGTTTTTTTGAACAAAAGGCCTGGTGTCTTTTCTCCTTCTAGGCTCTGGCAGTTGCTGGGGTTGTCCCTTGCTCTCTCACCTCTGAAAAGAAGTTGCTCCTACCCCCAAGGCTTTGACCTGGGGCTGCTCCCTGCCTCTTCCAGCAATTGCAGGGTACCACTCCACTGGGGTGCCAAGATTGTTACCGAAAGTTCGGCACTTGTCCCCTGAAGCCACATCAGAAAAAGAGGGACAAGTGGTTTGAGGAGAAGGAAAGAGAAGTTTATTACTCCGCCAGCAAAGGAGAAAAATGGGAGACATGGTCTCAAAATTAAAATTCCTCTATTAAACTATTTTGATTTAAAAAATAAAAGAACATTTCAAAAACCTGTTTGTTCTACTTGATATTTTAACAGGATATTTTTTAGTCATTCTTTCTCCATAAAATGACGTAAATTTTCTAAATCATGCTTATTCATTGCTACAGAATTAGATTTTTAAAGTGCTTTTGGCATGCAGCTATGAGACTGTTGCTGTGAAAATCAATATAACACAAACATTAGCAAAACTGTTAAAACAAAATCAATTATTTGTTTAGAAATATTTATTCCTAAAAACTAAAAGAATTGCTGAATCCTGTGTTTGAATGGGGCTAAGTCTATTTGCATTAGATGTGCCTTTTTTGCTTGGTCACAGAAATGCTATGATCTGTACTAACCGAAAACAGTATATTTATGATTTTGATTATTTAAAAAGATACCACCAGTTTATGGTTTGAGAAGTTTTAGTATGAGCCTACATAACAGTTCTGATAATCAGTTTATAGATTTTTTTTAAATATTTAAAGTGATAGTCACTCTAACTTACAGAAACTTACAGCATCATGATTAGAGTTATTATTTACACTGAGCTATGAATAAAGTATTTTGATGGGAAAATAGTATTTCAATGCCATCATTCCATAAAAATCATAAGGAGTTACACATTTCTAGATGATTAGACAGAAAAAAAGTGTTACAGAACTTTAGGCTTTTTCTTTTACTACAGTAAATTAATACATGCTTGGATGAGAAAAATACTACTTGAAGTTTAAATAGTTACCTATGGTAAGCTATATACATCAGCAGAATACTACTAAACAGTGACCTGAGGAAACAATCATGCAGTAATAATTTGGAGAATCTCTGACAGAGCTCAGAAACAGAGGACATAAAAAACAACGCTATTACCCTTAGAAGACGCTTTTTAAAGTTAAACAGATCATTTTTATATATAGTATCTCTTTTATTCTTCACAAAATCCTCTTGGGATAAGATGGATATTTGTTATAATCCTCATTTTTACAAACTAAAAAACTAAGACTGAAGCATTAAGAAGCACAATTAGTGGCAGAATTAGAGCTTAAACTCAAGCCTTTTCCTTCCTATTCTTCAACAAATGTGAAAGTGGAAACACAGCTTCCTAGACAAAGCAAAGCATGTCTTCACCTCTTACTTTAAAAAAGAGGTAGAGGAGGAGAGAAAATAGAAAGGGAGAAAAGTGTTGAGCATAAAAAGGGAGAAAGTGAAGGAGGGAAGAAAATGGAGCAGGGACAGAGAGAAGCAGCAGCAATGTAGAGACATCTCTTACTCCAGGAATCTGCCATGCAAAAATCAAATACTTATTAAGATCCGAATAAAAACTACAGAAGACTCCTAAATAATTTTGAGAAAATCTAATGGAAAAGTTCTAGAACTTGCCTATATCTGACAAGAGAAACAAAAACTGCTCAGTAAGAGCTGATGCTAGTCGCCATCAGGCACCGTGATGTGTGTGTCAGTTCTACTCTCTTACAGCAACCGATAACACTGCATTGTTTTAATACACAACATTTACCATATTCATCAGCCCTATAGAAATGTCATGTTCAATTAATTAACAAAAAGTCAGACTAAGGCCTTTTAAGAGAAAGCTGCTATACTAAAAATATTCTTGAATTCAAAATCAATAATAAAAATTTTTTTAAATTAAATTTCCCAAACTTCATGAAAAAACAGTTAAGGGTTTAGATTAAAAGACATAGAATATTTTTAAAGTATGCATTATAGTCCCTAAAAATATTTATATAAGTTATCTAACTCACTGTGGAAGTATCGATGATGCTTTTCTCTCTTCCATCAACATCATCGTCTTCATCATCATCACTGAAATCCGCAGCTGCACTTTCAAGGAATTTGAAATTATCCAGCACGGAGGCAGAATCTGTTAACTCGGATTTTCTGGTTTAAAACATGTACATCCTGCTCAGTTAATTTTTTTTAACTTCAACGTGAGAATTAACCCATGATATTTTGCATTAACTTATGTTTATAACTATGATCCCCAAATCTTATTATGATCTATACTGATTCTTATCGGGTACACTTCCATGGGTTAATAAGAAAAAACAATATAAAAAGTGGCTACTCTTTTAAAAGTGCTTTGTAAGGTAGGTGCATTAATGAGGGAGTGAGGAGAGGGGAGGACAGAACAGGATGGGGAGTCATGGTATCATGGCACTCCTCTTGGGGGTGGAACACAATTATACCTAACAAATGTAATCAGTGGATCACCTATAGACTTTTCTAGAACTAGAATATAAATGTTTTGACACAATGACTAAGCAAATGACATGAAATCTATGTGAACCAGCTTGATGAAAGTATTTCAAATTGTATATGAAAACACTACACTGTACCCCATGTTTGCATTAATGTATACAGCT